AATTTTTGATTATTGATCAGAAGGTGCTCCTAAATTTTTTAATTAGGAGGACAAGCACTCCTAATTACAAGAAGAATTGCTGTAGAATAAGACAAATAAGTTACCAATCATATGAAATTAGTATTAATAAATTAATTTGGACTACAGAGGTGGCTCAGAAGAACACAAAAGTGGCTTGTAGTTACATTTTCAGACGTTTAATGAGGCTCAGAGGTAGCATGAGTTCAATTAAATTCATAAATGCATGTGGAGATTAATGTTTTAAATATAACATTTTGAATACAGAAATATGATTTAAATAACTGAAATTATACGCTAAAAATGAAACTAAATCCGCCAGCAGGTGGCGGCAAGTCACTGATTTTATCACTGAATCATTCATTCAATTGATTAGTTCGAACATCTGAATCATTCAGAAATGAAGCTGTCTTTATGAACTGACGGAAATCCGTCGTAGCGACGGAACTTTAATCCCTGTTACCGACATGAGCACGTAAGAGTTCAGAATGCACTGACGCAAGACATCTACTCTGGGCCAATCAGAACATTCTGACATTCTTTACCCCACGCTGTTTATACGATGTCTCTGGGCCAAAAGCAACTGCATGAATGTGAACGTTTGACACAAAAATTCAAACATCAGCAAAAACACTGACCGGTACACTGACATTTTTGTATTTACCGGTAAAGTCGTTCCGGTAATTTTACAGCAATTTACTGGTACTACTGTGTGAAAGTGGCTATTGGCTCAACCGGTGGCGTGAGTTTGAGGGAGTTTGTCTGATCAATGTCAGACAAGAGAAGCATCTGGGATACCTGTTTGAAAATAGTAATTATTCTTGCCATTTCACTTGGCTTCACAATGAATAATTCTTATTTCTAATTGCCATTGTGATGCATGCTGGCATTCCATTGATTTAGTACATAAAGCAGCGATGCAACAGTAGATCTATACATTTCTAAAGCTTTTCTTTTTCATTCCCTAGGATGTTTCGGTCTGTCGAACAGTCACGCCTTCGGCTGCTATGGGTATTATATCGCCTCGAGATTTTGTTGATGTCATTTCCATTAAACGCTATGAGGATGGCACAGTTTCTTCAAATGGTATACATGGCCTTTCTCCTTTTAATTGGATCTGAATCTGACACTGTTCTGAATAGGATTATTATAAATAAACATCAGACCTGATATCTATCTTAATAATGCTGTTATTGATAATTTAATTGATTTATAGCCACCAATGTAAGCCATCCAAACTGTCCTCCTCAACCCGGCTACGTCAGAGGCTTCAACCATCCGTGTGGCTGTTTTTGTGTTCCTGTTCCTGGGTGAGTTTCTCATGTCTCATGTCTTTGGTTGATGTAATTCAATCATCAGACAGCAGATGGTGGCAAAAAACTACATTTGAATTTTTCATCAGTAGCATAATTTTTTTTACCTTTTTTTTTTTTCTCTGTAGGGAACCAGGCAAAACGCAGCTGTTTAGTTTTTTCCAGACTGATCTTGGAGGTTTGCTTCCTCGTTCGGTTGTCGATTCATTTTTCCCCACTAGTATGGTGGAGTTTTACAGCAACCTGACCAAAGCCGTAAAATCACTTAAATAGCACCAATGGTACTTTATAGATAATACCCCCTTTAATCTTAAATGTGAATATTTTAATACTTGGATGCACTTAATTGCATTTAATCAAGCTTTAGTGGAAAGTGAATTTACCTTTAGATTTATTCCTGATTCTTCCAATAGCTACACGTGTCCAAACACACTTGCACAAAGACAGTTTTATATGTACAGAATACTGGAACGTTTTGTTTGCCATATTATTTTAGAAATTCTGAAAACTTGATTCAAATGATGAACTATTGCACAAACAGTTATACATTTACATTCATGCATTTGGCAGATGCTTTTACAGGGTTTCTGCGGATATTAAGTCTTAATTCACTCCTACATCAATTAAGGTCTTAAAAAGGTGCTGAAAGTTCATGAAGTTATGGCATTAAATGTTGCATGCACTGCAAAAATGAATAATTTCCTCAGTATTTTTGTCTTGATATTGTGGGGGATCAAATATCTGAACATGCTTAATCAAGATGCATTTACTTGTGATGCAAATTGAATATATGAAGTCTGAAACCGAACTTAGCTGAACAAAATTAAGCGAGTTTATGCTTAAAACGAGAACAAATGTGTCTGTCAGTGGGGTCTGAAATCTTGTTTTCTCTGAATTAATTATTTTTTTTTTGTCCATTGGCAGACATTTGCTCTTGTTTTTTTCGTAAATTTACTTCATTTTGATTCATTTGTCAGAAAACATGTGCTTCTTGATAAAAAATTTTTTTAGACGTTTGCATTGGAAAACAAGACAAAATAACTGAAGAAGAACATCTCTTTTTTGCAGTGTGATCAGAAGTTACACAAAGTTATTTCCATATTCTTTGTGGTTGGGAGCAGAGCTATTCAAGCCATAAGCTATAGTAAAATGCATTAAAAAGTAAAGGAGATTTGTTGGAAGTTTCAAACTGTTTCTAATACAACCTAGACATTTACGTTTAGAGAACATATTGAGGTTTTGTGATCCTTTCACTCTATTCCATAAATTTTTTTACATTGTCTTAAAATGTCTTAAATGTACCTAGAAACCTGCAGAAACCCTGTTTTATCCAAAGTGACTTAAAGTGCATTCAAATGGCATTTTATCAGTCAGTTTGTTTCATGGGAATCATGCACATGATGTTGGTGTTGCTAGCATCATTCTCTGCCAGTTTAGAGTTATTCCATCAGGGCCATAATGTAGCATGATGATAGATTTGGAAATTATTTTAATTCATATAATGCATTGTTCAATTTTAGACTTTACAGCTCTATTTTAAAAGGTAGTGAGATGCCTTGCCATCTACAAAGTTACTGGTTTGGAGCCCCCTACAAAGGCAGCACAAATAATGCTCCTTACATGAAGCGTAAGAGGACTCGACTCACGATTGATGTAAAGAGAGTTTGGCTTTAGCATGTAACATGACGCTGCTTTAGAATGAGGTTCTTAGAAGGCAACATAAGGTTGCTGCATCTGTGTCAGGAGTGTGTGTTTGATGTCTGGCCTAAATAGGCAGTTCACTAGTTTTTGGAATGGAGTCTTATTTTAAAGGGGTCATATGATACCATTTCAAGTTTTCCTTTCTCTTTGGAGTGTTACAAGCTGTTTGTGAATAGATAAGATCCCTAAAGTTGCAAAGACTAAAGTCTCAAACCCAAAGAAATATTCTTTATAAAAGTTAAGAATGGTCCACGCCCTCCTAAAACGCCTTGTTCTAACACGCCCCCACATGTCTACGTCACTGTGTGGGAAGATTTGCATAACGCAGCGCCTAATGTTCACGCAAAGAAAGAAGGCGTAACTTTGATTCTCACTGTTGTATTGTTGCCGCCGCCATGTTGTGGAGATGCTGTGTTTCGTCATGAAAGCGAAACTACTTTGTTTGGTCTTCCAAAAGAGGACACGACTAGAAATCAGTGGTTAAGTTGTATTTACAACACTGTTCCAGAACAGTTCAACTCAAATATTCATATGTGTGCAGCACATTTTATGGAGGACGAGGACTGTTTCCTGAACCAGGAGCCTACAATGCCGGTGTTCTGACAAATAGTGCTGACTCCCAGCCTGCAAGTACGTTTTCATATTTAAAGGATTTGCCACTGTTGATTCAAACGTGAGTTTTGAGCAGTGTAGAGTAGCACTTGTTGTTTGTCATTTCTTTGATCACAAATGCAGACATGGTTTTATGTTTACGCGGCACGATGCAACGCAACGCGTAAAATAAAAAGACAGTATAAGTCATTATAATCAGTAATCATGTCCCCACTGGATGCAACAAATGCCTCGTTTATAATGGGTTTTAATGTTTTTGTCTCGTCGCTCCGCCGGGACACAGCATCACAGTATGGTAGGGGCGTAACATTTCCGTCACACGCTTGAGGTATTCGGCCAATCACAGCACACCTCGCTTTTCAGAACGATGAGCTTTGTAAAAATCGACGCGTTTCAGAAAGGCGGGGCATAGAGGAGAAACAATAATGTACAGTATGTGGAAAATAATGTTCTTTTTTAGCAACGTCATATGACCCCTTTAATAAGCTGTTTTTAGAATTTCAGTCACATATTTGAGGACAGTTGTCTTAGATTGGAGATTAAATTTTTATTTGAGCTTTTGATAGATGCTTAAGCTTGACCCCTTATATCACATCAAGTCTGGTTGTTAAATATGCTGAAACTTTCCATATGTATTTCTGTATTTTAATAGTGATATTTTAGCGCATAAATGGCTTTGGCAAATCAATGTTGACAGACACATATCTTCAGACAGATTTGAAGAACTGCATTTGCTGCTGTTCTCGGTTAGCATAACTTGAGTTTATGTACTGTATTTTTGAGACTGACAATAAAAAAAGGCCAGAACAGTCATGACAGAATTGCGATGAGGGATGTTATGATATAATGATAAAATAAGAACCCAGATGCTCAAGGTTTAGCTGGTTACCATGACTAAATTATATATTTCTGTCATTATTTATTCGCCCTTAAGTTGTTCCAAACCTGTGTGAGTTTCTCTCAGTCAAAATATTATAATAGTGTTACTCTAATGGATTCCTCTGTTGTTTTACTATGTTAAATTTCAATTCCACTATTCGTCATTTCATTTGAAATTCTATTCCAATTTTGCAACATGTGGGGTGTAGCCAATTCAATTCAAATGTACACTTATAAATTAAAAGGGAGTCCATTTTTAAATTCACAGTTTTTAAAACATTCCAAAAATATGGAATTAAGACATTTTTCTCCCATAGACGTAGTAGAAATGAATGCGGTTACGTCCTTTTATCTCTGCTAGTAATCCGTCGTTATCACACATGCACAAAGGGACTGTTTAATGCTGTGTATATCACTGATATGACTGACCTCAGAGACAACCCAGTGTTTCTTTTTGATCACTTTAATTACCGTTTGTGTCTAGCTGCACGATTGTCCTCCTGTCATGTGTCCAGTAGGTACTTTGTATTTTTATGCCTGTATGCCGTCAGTGAAATTACTGTGAACGCATGCTCATGGCCTGGAGATGTGTTCTATGCTTTTTTTTATTATTATTTTTATATACTGTAAATGAGCAGTATGCTCTCGTGCATTTCAGGATTATTTTGGTTATCAAGATTTTACATCCGTTTTGCAAGGAGTGTGTGCTTGCCTTCAGTATTATTGTGCAAAGTTCTCTCTATGTTGTAATAATGCACACATATTTACATTCCAAAAGCAGTGTATACAGTTTGTCAATTCTGTCAAGCAAGAGTTTTTGATTATTCCAGATTTTTGCATTTCTTGAAGTCAAAGTGAAATGTCATTCACAAGCCATTTTACTTCTGTAAACTGATGTATTTAGAATAAATCATTTGGTGGTACTTGATTTTATCCTGGAATTGATTGGATCGTGAAAAGTGGGCGGTACAAACTGGAATGGAGGCAGATGATTGGATGGGAGAAGTCAAACAGTATGAGGGATTTGTAACAGCAGACGAAAAGAACAGTCATAATAGAGGCGGAGCAAGTCAGTATATTTTCATAGTACATTCTTTTTAATAACATGCAGTGATGGACCTGGAACTGTGCATTGAAATCAGATAATTTCTCATTTCATGTTGACTCAAATATGTTTTTGCTCAATGCAGTTTATTATATGTCCACCTGCCATTGACTGTGGGTCATCTGTGTACTGTTTGTTGATACCTAAAAGAAGCAAAAACTGAAGAAATTGCACTTTGTAAAACCCATTGTATGATTCTCATTTTAGATTCTGTTTTCAGATATTAAAAATGATTGATGACCATATTTATCATTTGTATCATACTTTATTTGTACATTACAAGCCTTAAGTAATCGCATGTAAAACATCTTTGTTCTGACACAATTTCAATATATTAAGGCTTTTCTTTTTATGGGAAACAAAAGAAAATAAAAAAAACTAACAAGACCAGAATACTAGAGGCACGGTACTTATTTTATTAAACTGTCAAAATTGGATTCTGTTAGATAATAGATATTTTTGAAAATATCGAATATATTTATCATTTCTGCCTTTGGTGGAAAAACTAGAGCAATGTACTGTTGGGGGGAGCATTTGACAAAAAAAAAAATATATATATATATATTCTAATCTCTTGAAAACCGTGTGCCACAAATGCTTCATGACATGTTCTTTACATTCTCCTTTGGTGAAATGGTATAGAAATATATCTGAAACTATTTACAGGCTTGTGCAAATCATTGCATCAAAACAGGCAGACTTGACAAGAATCATATTTTTATGAATCCCTGATTGTGACAATAAAATACTACAATACCACCACCGTGATGCGCTATAAAACTCTGCTCAGAAAAACAAGCTTTCCTGATCATGTAGTACCACATCATGCAGTGATGCACATCATAAGAGAGGAAAGTCATAATGGCAAAATGCATTAATGGCAAAATGGAGCAATCAAGGCAACTGAACTATCCCAGAAGGGTTACAACAGTCATGGAAAACTCATAAATATCAAGGAATTGGATTGCCAGGCCTGCAAAACTATATATACGCTTTTCTTGCTCAACTCTAAAACACTTACCCCGGGTTTCACAGACAAGGCTTAAGCCTAGTTCCATTCTAAAGTGGAAGTCTGAGCTGTTTCAACTGAAAGAAACTTGCACTGACTGATCTTAAAACATGTCAGTGCCTTTGTTTTGTCTCAAAATGCACACCAGTAATGTTTTTTTTCTAAGGCACGTTAATAAAAATTACTTAAATGTCCTAATTGAACTATTGCCTAGTCCTGGCTTAGTCTAAGCCCTGTCTGTGAAACCAGGCCTTACTTGGATAGAAATTGTTCTTTTTGATTGCGGTCGCTGTAAGAAAAATGAAATGAAAATTGATTGGTTGAAAAAGGATTGGTCAAATCATACGGGATCCCTGCTTTTAAGAAATTGTTTTGTAATGTGTATTTATTTATTTTTTCGCAAGTGGAGGCATTTCCTCAAGTCCTGAAATGAAGTTTTGCATAATTTAAAGTTTATTCAAATTTGGAATAAGTCCAGTATTTTCTTCTAGGTGCTTCTGAGTGGAGTTTAGCTCTACTCGCATTTTTTTCTCTTAATGACGAGTGTAAACGACCCATCATCAAGGCCTTTAATGAGTGTCCAGGCCTCAAAGCGTGTGAGACCCTGCAGAGACGAGTCCTGGATCTGCAGTACCTCATCACCAGATGTCAGCCCCTTTTGCTCAGCGTCACTCCCTGCCAGAGAAAATACAGTATATATTGTATGATTCATGTTACAAACTGATTTGTAGACCCACATGAAATCTGCACCTGCATAACTTCACAAAAAGATTTCTGCAGAATGGGAAACGCGCCATTCAGAATGTTCTTCACATTCCAGTTTGTTGGTTTATCAAATATTTTGGTTATTTTGATTTTGCTTTCAGCTAAGTGAAAATAATTAGGTGTAGAAGCAATTTTTGCCCAGAATTTTACAATCAATTACAAAGAAACAAGCAGCCTTGAATTAAACATGACATTTTCTTAAACATGAAAGACTTGTATGGTGTACTCCAATAATCTTTAGTTCTTTCTTAGAAGAAAACATGTTTACAGTAGAAGTACTCTCAAGGACAAATGTAGCATTGCATCCTCTGCAGTGAATGGGGGCCGTCATAATGAGAGTCCAAACAGCTGATAAAAACATCTTGCTTCATAAGATGTTCACTGATGGACTGGAGTGGTGTGGATTATTGTGATGTTTTTATCAGCTGTTTGGACTCTCATTCTGACGTCACCCATTTACTGCAGAGCATCCATTGGTGAGCAAGTGATGCAATGCTGAATTTCTCCAAATCTGTTCTGATGAAGAAAAACTCATCTACGCCTTGGATGGCCTGAGGGTGAGTACATTTTGAGCAAATTTTCATTTTTGGGTGAACTTTTTCCTGTAAGGTTCAGTCATAGTCTCACCTGTAAATATTCTGTTGACGGTTAGTGGTCTGTCTCCATTAATGGAGCCTTTTCCTCCCTCAAGACTAAATCCAACTCCACCTGCGTTCTTCTCCAGCTCGATTGTTACAACTTCACCTCCATCATCCCCTAAGTGTCATTTTTTGAATCAAAAATCATAGAATGAATGTACACATATTTTGCATATTTATGTTATTTGGATAAGATTAATTTCCTAAATGACATTTGAGTAATAATTATTAACATAGTGCATCCAGATACATCATAAAACCCACTGAAACTATTAAAGGACTAAATCCATAATGGTAGAACTAGTCATTTGGCTTTAGTTATGAAGCATTGTGAAAAAATTATATTCCATCCAAGTTATCTACAACTAAAATTTCTCTGCAATTTCTACCAAAGTTGTGTAAGAACAACTGATGTGTTGGATGTGGATAGAACTAGTACATCTGTGAAACATGAATTCACCTCCTCAGGGAAAACTAGTCCAGTTCAAATAGGGCTTTTTATTTGACTTTAATCATACAGTTTTTTATTGCACAACATGTAGCTCTTGTAACATTCCTGTATTCTTTGTGTGCCCTATTATGCTGACATTAAACATTAATGCCATCGCTGTGCTGACGTCAGTGATGTTGGCCCACCTGTGATGCTGCTCTCTGCCCCGCTGCTGCAGCTGGACTCATTAGCGTTAGCGCCTCCCTTCCCTTCGGCATCTTTGTTCTTGGACACCACTATCACTGCCTGCTTCATGGTGCGGGCCTGCCTGAGAATCGCTGTGGCATCGCTGTGTGTGACGTTTTTTAGCGTTTGGCCGTTAATGGACAGCACCTCATCTCCTCTTTCAATGGTGCCCTCCTGAGCAGCCAGACCACTGGGAAACACCCTGTGAACCTGAAGGTACATGATTGGGTGCATATACAGTAAGTAAAGTGAACAATTCTTTTGCTAGCATTAACTGTATACATTTTGCATTTACAGCTGCAGTGGAACCACTGGAAGTTTGTAACTGTATCCTAAATTATCCAAAAAATGTAGGGTCCGTATGAATTATTATTATTATTTTTTAAGTAGCCTCTTATGCTCACCAAGGCTGCATTTATTTAGTCAAAAATACAGTAAAAAGTGTAATATTGTGAAATATTATTACAATTAAAAAAATATGTATTTTAATATATTTTAAAATGTAATTTATTCCTGTAATCAAGCGGTCACATGATCCTTCAGAAATCAGTCTAATATGCTAAATCAATGTTGAAAACAGTTGTGCTGTTCATTTCAATCTTTTGTAACATTTGTGTATTTTAATGCATTCTTGCTGAATAAAAGTATTATTTTCTTAAACAAAAACAAAATACTGACCCCAAAGTTTTCAATAGTAGCATTTAAATTAAAAATGTCATTTACTCATCCTCATTTCTTTCACTTGTTTTTTTTTCTTGTATGAGATTGTAAGAAAAACAATGTCAAAAATGTGTATTTTTCATACAACAAAAGTGCATGAGATTCACTGCCAAGCTCAAAAAAGGACCTCAGATGTACTCTACTGTGACATACAATAGTTTTAGCTAAGAAACAGACCAAAATCATCCCTTCTGGCATAGATTTCACATTTCATGAGCAAAAATGTATTGTCAGTGACATCAAATCATTTTTAATTAAGTGCACGCTTGAATTAGATTTTGAGAGATTTGAAGCTTGGACATACAACCCAAGATCTTAATTTGTGTTTCAGGGAAGCAAGAAAAAAATACCGATCTACGTGTGTGTGTAAATTATGACAAAATTGAAGAGGCTGTGTCTCCTGCTGACAGGTGAAGTAGATGAGCTGTGGTGCGTGGTTTATGGAGATACAGAGACGTCACTCACAGTAGTTGCTTTGTTCTCCAGATCAATACCGCCAGCGATGCTGAAACCCAAGCCAGCTCCTTCTTCTTTATGTAGAATCACAACATGGATGTCTTCCAGTTGCTAATGGACATTAAGAAATCCAAATCAGCCTTATTATGTGGTTCAAAAACACTTTGTATCTGTGGCTGTACTGGAAGCAGAATTGTTTTTAGCATAGCAGTTATTTTAGAACATGCTTTGTAAAGAACAGTTGCCTCAATGATTTGGCGGGCTGAATCCTGTTCCCACTCTTTTACATCATGCAGTTTTGAGAGAAATATAGAGATGTTGCCTTCCCTAGTGTTAAATAGCACATAAGAATCTCATTAATAATTAGTATGTCAAAATCACATTAGCATCTGGCACCGTCTTAAAAGATGACACTTGTCTAAACATGATTCATAGGCTATTTGATTGTAAATATAAATTTGTAACCGAAGTGTCCTCAAGTACAAAGCCTGATTTTAAGGCACACCTACTGAATTTGTCTTGGGACCTCAGCCAAAAAGGCCAGAAATGCATCCAAAATTGTGATTTTATGAAGAAATTGCTTCACTGAGTAGGTTTTACATGTATGCAGTGCATGCTTTAGTATGAATCTGAGATGTTGGAATTGTTATAACCTATGAAGTCAGCCTCAACGTTTCACCTATGGCCTTATGGGATAGTAAAGTGTCCATCGGATACACACTCCAGAATCCCAGCACAAGTTGCAGGTAATCGGGTATTTATATTCACATATGGTTTTATAATATTGCTTATTCAAACATATGACAAACTGTTTTGATTTTATTTTTTAGCATACTCTATATTATTTGTAAGAACTACCAGAGTAATTTAATCCTTAAACAAACTTTTATTTAGTTGGTTCTAACATTTCTTTCATCGGTGTTTTGAATTTATTTATAAATACAAAAATTATATTGAGGGACTTGAAAGCCTTATGCTAGTTGTTAGAGTTAAAGCTATAAAATAGCTGTTAAATTTAAACTATCCTGTGGCATGACTTGCTAAACTCCATCTAAAATGACTGAGAGACAGCATAGAAGATTGTTACATGAAAAATAAAATCACTTGTCGCACCACAGGACCATATAAAATGGACTATAGAAAAATCAAAAAAGATTCTTTGATTCATTGAGTCCATAATGCAGCCCTGCTAACTACACAAATACAGCTAACCACTCATCTTTGATAGCTTTTACAGTTGTTCCATTATTTATATAACCAAATGTAAAGCGGACATGCCCTCAAGAAATTTCAGCAAAATATTGACACTTCCTCTTTTTCTGCATTTTGCTTCTACGGCACAAAGCACATTATGTTTAAGGACTTGTAAACAGTGCATAGCACTTAATTAACCTGAAGCAATATAGACCGCTTTGTTTAACTGCAGACAGAAAATGTGGCAGGGGAATATTGATAAAGGAAATGGTCATAAATACAAAACAGTGCAGCAAAATGCACCCAAGAGGGACATTGCAACACTGCTGTGATCAGGAAGTCACACTCTTGACCAAGAGATGCATGCTTTATTATACATTTTCAACTCTGCTAGCAAATGAGCTTCAAAATGTAGCAGCACGCAAAAGAAAGCTCACTGACCTTTAAGAGGACTTAATTTTTGCTGTTTTGTTATAAAGAACCGATTGTTCCTCAGTCACACCTCTCAGGCTTGCAGAGCAGGATATGGAAGTAATCAACGCCAGACAATAGCCAACAGCGTGTACTTTGTTGTATCAAACCAGAGCTAAACCCACCCTTAGCGTTTCTTCATCCAGATCCTTGACTTCCTGGATCATCTGCTGAATCTCCTGTGGCGGAAGAGCTGATAGCATGGATTGGGCACAGACATCTGAGGCTGAAGTGAGTGGTCGTTCGGCTTTCCATTCTTCCTTCTCACACTCCTCCCCTCTCTCGATGGTACGCTCTCTCAGTTTAGCCAAGCTGTAGACCAGATATAAGAAGTTAGCCTGAACCAGCTAACCAAGGTGTTCAGGATTACTTGAAAATATGTGTTGGAGCAGGGTTGTAACTGAAGTCTGTAGGAAGGTGTCCCTGCCCTGACCATTGGTTCCCAACCACGTTCCTGCCCCATCAACACTACACATTTTGAACATCTCCTTTGTCTGACAGACCCATTTCAGCTCTTGGAGTCTCGACTAATGAGCTGATGACCTGAATCGGGTGTAATTCATTAAGTAGACATGCAAAACATGCAGTGTTGGGAGGGGTGGATGGGGAACCACTTTAACCTCCTTTTGGGACACTGACAAGACAAGGTTGGTTTCTAGAGCAGAGGTGTCCAATCCTGCTCCTGGATGTCTGACGTCCTGCAGAGTGTAATGCTGCATTCAAGTCCTCCTGGGACATTCGTACTTACGAGTTGACAAGTCGTAATTACGACGTCAGGTGCGTTCAAGTCAGTTTAGTTGGCACAAGATGGCGGTGTACCTACTTTGAATAAATTACAAGAAAATACAACAGGGTCTAAATTTTTTTACTTGGATTTCAGCTGCGTAATAAAAACACGACCAATTTAAGTTTATAGGACAACTAAACTATCAATTTAAACAAAAATTTACCTTCAACTACAGACGTTGCATCCATCGATTCCGCCATGTTTCTCATTGACACGCCCCCAACTCGGAAACTAGGATCTTAAAGAAAATGTAGAGTTTCCCACTCGTAATAACGACATTGTGGTGGCGTTCATGTGCGTTCAACTCGTAAATACGATCTATCCGACATGACTTGAACGCACCATAACTCCAACCTGTTCCAACACACCTGCATGAAGGTTTCTAGTAAAGGATCCAAATAACTTGATTAGCTTGTTCAGGTGTGTTTGATTAGGGTTGGAGCTAAACTCTGCAGGACAGTGGCCCTACAGGACCGAAGTTGCCCAGCCCTGCACTAGACCGTTTTTAAAACTGGTGGAGACCACAGACTTAAAGACAGTTTCAACCGAAGTTTAACATTATAATCCTCCGAATGCGCACACTGTGCCAAGCCTCTAATCGGGCCACCCCCCCCTCCCCCAACCAAATCGGGCTTAAAATCTTCAATTGTGTGGCCAGCCTTAAACTTTTTCAAACTACAAGCTAATTTTATGTTTCACTTGCACATGTTGTGGCCAATTTACTAACATCTCACCACATTTATCTGTAGAAAACTTTAGCTCAAACGTGCATGACAGGAAAGAGTTTGTTTCTAACGGTGATAAGAACTAGTATGAGAACTTACAAGACATTAGCATGAAATGGTCTGTTCTTTGTGACTAACTCAAAAGAGCTGCATTTCCGCTTCTTGTTTCATTTAAAACAGATTCCCGAATGATTCAAACCTCTGCAATGCCTTTATCGTGCAGCCAGTTCTCAACATGAAAGAAGCTGACATTGTTGGCTTCAGTCCCTGCAAGTGATCTTATCCTGCACCTTCAGCCAGCACAACACTGCACAGAGTGTAATTATACCCCAAACGCTTTCATCTTCCAAGTGCATTTGTCCTACAACGTTTTCAGAGATAATATGCTTGGATAAGTTGCATACCTTACAGAGAAGCCCTTTTCGCTGTTTTCTGGTGGGGGCTTTTCACCAGGAGAGTCTTCCTCTATCGGGTTATGAAGAGGGGATTCTGGTGGGGCGCTCCAGGGGTTCCCAAACTGAATGCAAGGGGACTGCGGCAGGGATTGCATGGATCGCATCAAAGCATTGGACACTTGGTTGCTGAAGGACAAGATGATCCCTAGGCTCTCCCCGTCCAAGCCGCTTGAGTTGGGGGCATCTGAAGAGGGACTGAGGGGTAGACTCTGGGTCCTCAAGCTCACCGCATGAGTTCCTGCACCTTCGGTTTTTTCTGCAGGACCCTCCTTTGAGCTACTCGATCTCCTCGGGACGTGGCTTGAAGGGGACAAATCGTCTTGGGAAGGTAAGGGTTCTTGCTCAGTCTCTATAGCAGGTGGAAGCTCTTTTGTGGAGTCAAGAGCAGGTTCCTCAGCAGGGATCGGCTTACAGGGCTCTGAATCATGAGAAGTTGATTGTTTTTCTTCCTCTGCAGGATGGGGCTCTGAAATGATATCTGAACCGAGGGAAGCTGGTTGCTGATTTTCTTCTTTTGGAGGCTGGGTAGTGGCTGAAATTGTTGGTGTAGACTGGCAGTCATCATTATTGTGCAAGTTGCTTGTGGTAACTTTAGTTCTCCCTGCACTGCTGTAGTCTGCAGATGAGGTTTCAGCCATCTTCTCCACTGGAGGAAGGGATACAGTTGGGGCCAGTCGCCTGCTTGGCCTTTCGGATCCATCGGCACTAGAGAAAGTCTCAAACGAGCTGATCTTCTGCCTGATTGACAAATTGGCTCCCGATGAAGCAGCCCTCAGACTAATCCCAAAGGTCCTGCCAGTATCTTGACTCCTGTTATCTGGATGCTTCAAAGCTCCTGTTATCGGTTTCCCAGACTTAATGCTCTTAATGCTCTGACGTGCCCATGCAGGCTTTGGAGCCACCGGGGGGGCTTTTTTGACATTGGGAGATTGCTCAGATTTGGAGTCTGAGGTGGTGTTTGTGGTTTCAGAGGATGTGCCGTTAACCTCACTGTCTCCATTAAGGTCACTCATGGTTTTGTAGCAGTATGACTGGTTCTCTGGGCTGTCGGTCAGCTTTACCCAGGGGTCAAGTGGTTGATCTGTACTGACTTCCAAATGAGCCTGACGTCTCAGACCAACCCGCTTACTTGGACTACACACTTTAGATGGGGACTCTGGACCTGTAACATAATAGTGTTCATGTCCTTTTAATTTCATTTTAATGAGCTGTTGAATAGAGAAGTGCAATGTGAGAACTAACTCACATGCTGCCTCACATCCAATATTTGTCACAATTGTTTTATTTTCATTCAAAAATAGAACAACTATAATATGAATGTTAAAAAGAAAATCTATTTTTGTTTTGGTTTTCTTACATAAAAACCTTGCTATACAGGAACGTACTGTTATCAGCTGAATCAGGAAATGAAAAGTCTCAGCATACATGTTTTGAACGTACTCAGAATAATATAAAGTAAATATCTAAATCGAAGTTATGCAACCAACATGACATGTTTTTCTTTTTGTTATTTAAAAAATCAGTAGTAGGTGTATTTCAGGTTAACATACCTCTGTGCTGTCTGTCCCCTCTGTGTGTTGAGTCACTTTTAGGCTCAGAGATACTGACAGATGCTTTAGTTCTGACTTCTGCGCATTCAACCACTTCCTGTCACAAAAACAGGAAATGGTTGGCTAAGTTTGAGTCTTACAAAGAATTCGAAAAGGTGTAGAAATGCATTCGCCATAATTTCGTCATGCATCACTGTTGCATACAGAAACCCAGGCATATTCACACACTAGAGCCATGCCTCATGCCAAACACTCAAGCATTTCAATACCTGAATCACACATATGACAAAAAGATGCACTATTGTGCAAATAAATGTTTGCATGAAATGCACACAGATTCATTTTCAAACAATTGTCATCAAACACTGACATGAACATGTCCAGAAAGAGGTAGCATGAATTTCTACGTACATTCTTAAACAGAAGCCTTGAGATCTTTCTCAAAGCCCTGTATAGACTGCAGAAAAACTAGATGCATGTGGAGAGACAATAAAACAATGCATGAGGCAATAAAGGATAAAAAAGATTTAAAATAATGATAGTCATTGTAAAATGAATGTCTATTTAGGTTCAAATTTATATATTTCTTAAGGAAATAGATATTAGTATAAAGTAAATACATTTGTGAATATATATATATATGCAGGTGCATGTTTTAGATTAGTCCCCATTTTTTTAAGTTTTTCATAACTGAATAGTTAATTTCAATATGATCCTATGGTGTGACGAATTATGTTGTGAAAATATTCATTGTAGTCTGACCAGCTGAATACCTCTTGTTTCATCTGGTGGACCCCCTGTTATGTTACACTTTTGTTTGTAGAATAAATTAAACCCAATGAATCAAATAAATTAAATAATGCATTTCTACAATGACATTGATAACTGAATTTGTTATTTTTATTTTTTATATATTTCTATATTTAAAAATAGATAATGCCAATGTATTTAAATTGTAGTTTTTGTATTGTTAATTTTGACACATTTCTGTTTTTCACAGATCATAATGAGTCACCCTGTTGAACAATTTCCTCATTTTATCGGAAATTGCTTAAAATAAAATTTGGACACACAATGTTATGTTTACATATCATTTTCTACTTGCTTTCCAGTCAGATGAATTCAAAAATCCAGTCAAACAATATTTTAAAAAATCCCTTTTTTTCTTTGAGAAATATTACAGCTGTTTACTTGGCCATTGATGGTGCAAGATGTTCTCATGCAAAACCTGTGAAAAATTTGCCAATAAGGCAAGGGTTGCAGTTAAGCCAATCGTGTCTTGAATTACTCAGCTACCATTTATGGGCAATGCATCAGTCTTACAGTGAAAACCGCCTACTTGTATACAGTCTCTTTGACAGAGAGCAAAAAATGAGTAGTATGATATGCAATGCAATATGTAGATTTAAACCTGTATATAATTAATTTACTGCGCATAACCTCTCTGACTTATGTATTGCTGTGCAAACCTACATAAGGAAGAGAAAACAAAGAAATACAAATTTTAACTGAGCCAAAAAAAAACCCTGAATATTCTTTGTTTAATAAAAATAGTGCATTCCATAAATGTGACTAGCCCTACCTGGCAGTTGCTTTGAGAATACAGCAGATCTTCCTCTTTCACGGGTGAACCTCGGGTAGAGCCGCTCGAATCAGTCAGCACTTCCTGACTGCTGACTTCCTGTCGTCTGCAGTACCTCTGTGGCTGGTTTGTTGCTCCTTGCGTAGAGCTCCTCACCACACCTGCATGCACATCTAATGTTTGCTGTCCAGTGAAATTCATTGGACATTTATAGGGAATGTTATAGTCGTCATCGGTGAACGAGGCTGGAGACAGTGTGTAATTAAGTGAAGTTTCACTGTTGGTTGTTAAAGAGACGTCCATGCTCTGGACTCTGGAGACGTGCTCCGGCTCGAGGAAGGATTGAGTGGTGGCGCTGGCCGGTATACAGCGCTGGCTGTAGGCTCCCTCACTGCACGATCGGATCATGGGTTTCTGTGCTCGTCTACAGGTCAGCTGACTCGTGCTCCGGTCCAGACAGCGGATACACTTCTGTCTGCTGTGGGAACAGGCTTCGGATCGCCTCAGACCTGAGATCAGATAAAGACGTGTCTAAACCAACTACCGATTTTCTTCACAGTAGAAATAATCATGGACAAGTTTATTTTGTACGAATAGTAAATAAGACACTAAGCAGATATCTGAGCCTTTGATTCAAGTCCAGGGTTCCCACACGTTTTGACCTATGAATTTCCATGAGTTCATAATTAATAAATGAATTGAAATAATAATAATTATAATTTATTCAGGTTTCCATTTAGTACCGATCCTTTTAATTAATGGATTTAAGTTATTATTATTATTATACAAACTAATTGATATTTTACTCTGGATTGTGCAATTTATTTGTACTCAACACAAACACTAACAAAATACAATATCTAACAGAGTAGTATCATATTTTTTATACATTCTTAAATTATATTAAATGATTAATATGATTAATTATTTAAAATAAATTTCAAATTATATATATATATACACACACACATATTTACACACATACAAACATTTATATAGTTACAATTGCTATAATTTTAATCATATTAAATTATTAATATTATTATTAATTAAATTGTTAATTATATATATATATACAGTATATTTAAATGATATAAAATAAAATTAATTAATGTTATTATATAATAACATTTCTGTAATTTATATATATTATTATTATTATGAAATATTCACAAAATAAATTTTCATGACTTTTTAAGATTAACCTTTTTCTTTTCTGGTAATCTAAAATTGTGAAAAAGTTTTCCATGACTGTAGGAACCCACCAAGTCCATTTGTAAATGATTTGAACCATGTCTCAGGTGGGCAATTTTATTGTTTATAATATTTTCATCTTTTTTTAGTCCAAGTCATGAGTCTCAAGTTACCATTTCTAAGTTAAGCATAACTTTACAACTAAAACAGTGTTCAACTTGGTCTGTTTCACACATGTACGTAAGCAGCACACTTTTTTTCTCCAGTATATCTGACCGAATCCAAACACAACCACCTCTAAGATGCATTACCATTTGGATGCAACTGTGGTCCTCATAATATTAATTAGATTTACTGATAATGTTGATCCACTCCCAGTTGCAATTTTAAGGCCATTAATAAAAGAAGTACTCAGTGACCTCGAAATCACTTTACTTGCTGTACTGAGCTACAGTTACTGTTGTAACTGGGCTGCAACCTTACTTAAAAACTGCAGATGCAGGATGTGTGAAACAGGCCTTGGAAATGAATGTCACAAGTTGATTTCGGAGCAAACAAAAGATCAATAACTCACTGCTGTTACATCCGTCCATACTCCACTGACTCCTGTCTCTCCTCAGTCTGCTGTGCTCCACCGCCTGAGCGATGGCCTCGTTCAGCTGCTGCTCAGAAACCTTCAAACACATCCAAGTTTATATTTTAGCACTCTCTGACAACTTAGATCTAGCTATGAAGACAAAAGTGAAGGTTTGATTGATCACCGCCGTAATGAAGTGTAAGTTGTTTCAGCACAGCTTGCGTTAATGTGTGACTTAGTAAATCTAGTCCGTGATGCTCTCTTATATGTCTGAAAGGAAAGCAGACCTACTTTTGGGTCGGGGTGTCGACTGATGATGATCTGAACCGGTCCCGGGCTGCACTGACTCAGAACCGTGTACACATCGTTCAGCGTCATGTTGCAAACCACTGTGTCATTGATCTCCATGATCTCATCGCCACATCTGACAAACATTCACATACAACTTACTAACAATTCACAGCACTGCAGTTTGGTTACTTGTAAAAACCATCTTGAAACCACACTCATGAAAAAAAATAATTTTGCCATCTATAACATGATGTGCAGTTTGGCTTATTATGGTTACCAAAAAATGACCAATTTCAACTGTGAGAAAAGCTACATTTTGAGCTTAATACATCTTCATTTTAAAGTCAAACATTGTGGAAGTGGCCTCAAAACATCAATTTCAACTGGTTTTTGCTTTGATAAAACCAGAGCACATTACTTTGTTGAAATGAGCTAATCCAACATTCTTGAACATTTTGTCCCAACTTAATTTCATTATGTCCAATCCATTTACCTGTATATTGTAAAATTTAAGTTAACTTTATAATTTTGTGCTGAGACTACATAAATCGTTTCTGTTGACCTAACTAACTGGGCAGTGGATCTGTAGTTCCCAGCATGCTTTGCATTGAACATAATTGTTTTAGGCATGCTAACAAGCTTATTATCTAACACAGGAACTTAAATCTGTTACACTGGTTCAAGAAAACATTATTTTTTAAACTTGTTTTACAGGTATAAACTAAATGCATCAAACTTTCCTTAATCGATAGATAGATAGATAGATAGATAGATAGATAGATAGATAGATAG